TTCTCTTATGTTGGGTTTTGAAAAATAAAAGTTAAATTTAAACTAAAATGTTTTGTAGTTTTTTTTTTACAGACTGTTTATAATGATTTTTTTATTACTAATAACTTCAGCTATCATATTAATTTATTTTTAGTATGATTAACTCTACAGCTAATTTCTTTGTGTACCTTTTTATCTTTATTTGTTTTGTTGTTATTTTTTTCCTTTGTACTCATTTTACTTCTGATTGTTTTTAGATTTCTTTCTCACTAGGAGCTTTTTTCTTTGCATGTTTTCCTTTTTAAATTTTCTGCTTTCTACAAGAATTTTGAAGCTACTATGTACATTGCCAGGAGCCCTCAGGGTACAGTGGTTAAGCACTTGGCTGCTAACCAAAAGGTCAGCGGTTTGAACCCACCAGCCACTCCATGGGAGAAAGATGCAGCAGTCTACTTCCATAAAGATTTACGGACTTGGAAACCCTACGGGGCAGTTCTACTCTGTCCTACAGAGTTGCTGTGGTCAGAATCGACTTGACGACAGTGGGCTTGGTTTTTTTGGTGTATGTATGTTGCTTCATTCTTAGTATTCTCCATAGTGATTAGTATGCTTTCTTTTTTAATTTTTTTTTTCCTTTTTAGTTTTTTCTTTTCCTTAACTTCCTATGCAGTTAATTCCTATTTAAGGCTAAACCACATTTGTTAGAGGGTTTGCTTGAAATTTACACTTGAATGTTGAGTTTAGAGTTTTTGAAATCCTAATCTCATAACCCTAAACCCAACTTTCTTTTTTTTCATGAGTAGTAACTTTGCACAGTAAGTGTCTTGATGCCAGCCATCTCTGTTTACTTACCTGCCAGTTTCACTGTTGTAATGGTCAGTGGATTCCAACATTGTGTTTCTTAATTGCTTTTCTGCTTGAAATGCTCTAGATAATCCAGGGTTTTATTTCTGTCTGTGAGAGTTTGGGTAATGCTTTTGCCATTTTACTGTGAAGAGTATAAATGGAAATTCTCTCATCGAGGGATTGTACAGACAGAGTAAATTTAAGAAGTCCTCAGTTAAATTTTTGGATATTTTGGATATATTGCAACTGATATAAAAACTCTAAGCATGAACTCCCCTGATTCTGTTCTTGGATTTTTAGCCATTTTTTAAAACATTCCTATTTTGATATTCCTAGCATCACTTCTTGATGGTATCTTTGAACTTAAAATATATAAAGTCCAAACTGATACATGATACCAGTATTCTTCCAGTCAGCTGGGCTCAAATCTTTATAATTATCTTTGGTACCTCCCATAACTATGTAGACAATTGTCAAGGCCTAGTGAGGCATCCTTTATAGAATCACCACCTTAGTTCCGGCACTTACAACACATACTTGCGTTACTGTTGTGTTCTGCTGCCACCAGATTAAGATTTTTTTAATGAATACTTTTATGTCATCCCCTTACTCAGAAACTTTCAGTGGGTTACTGCTTACAGGAAAAGGCGAGATGACTTAATATGCTATGTTTTCAATAGTAAAGTATATGTGACTACTTTATTGCAAAGAATTATTGTCCTCTTAATCACTTTTGTTGACTTTATTTTCCATACTTTTGAAAAGAGCCTACCACTTTACAATGGATACTCTATCCCGTAAGCATACTTTGACAATTCTCATCTCTAGTTGGTTCAGTTTCATATGTATTAAGCATGTACTCTTTGTTAGGTGGTGTATTTATGGGATATATAAATAAGACATATTTTCCTCTTAATTTAAATTCTGTTTATTCTTCAAAGCTGAATGTATTAGTTTCAAAGAGCTTCTATAACAAATTACCACAAACTGGATGGCCTTAAAACAAGAGAAATTTATTCTTTCACAGTTCTGGAAGCTAGAAGTCTGAAGTCGAGATGTCAGTAGGGTCATGCTCTTCTTGAAGGCCCTAGAGGAGAATCTGTTCCATTCCTTTCTCCCAGCTGCTGGTATTGCCTGCAGTGCTTGGCATTCCTTGGCTTGTAGATGTTATCACTCCAGTCTCTGTCTCCATTGTCACATGGTGTTCTCCCTGTGTGTTTGTCTCTATGTCTGTTCTTAACTTGATTACATCTACAAAGACCCTATTTCCATATAAGGTCACATTCACAGGTACCAGGAGTTAGGACTTAAGCATATCTTTCTAGGGATGCAGTTCAACCCCCAACACTGAGCTTAAAGCTTATTCCCTCTGAACAGTGTTACTGAAAAGTGTTCCTTGATCATACTAGCCTCTTAACCTCTCTAAATTTTCCCTCTCAACTGGAGGTGTCTCTCTTCTCTCTCTTCCCCTCTTCTTTTCCCCTCCCCCAACCCCCCGCTTCTCCCTCCCTCTGTCTTTCTTGGGTGTATGTGAAAGAGAACATCTATACAGAAAAGTACCTAAAGTATTGGCAGTTTAATGAGTAATTTTGAAGTGACCACCTGTGTAAGCATAATCAGAAGTCAAGAAGTAGAGCGTTACCAGTAACCCAGAAGTTGGACATGTGCCCCTCCCCAATCAAACCTCTCCTTTCCCTCCACCCTACAGGTAATCCTTTTGTGTAATCATGTTTATACTTTTCTTTATAGTTTTACTACTTGTGTATGCATCTCTAAACAAGATAGTATGACCTGTTTCTCAGGTTTACGTGAATGAAATTACAAGTTTTGACTTGTTTCTTTCAACATTTTTGGTGTTAAGTATAGCTGAAATCCATTTGCATTGCTGTATAGCATTTCATTTATCCATTTACCAGTGAACATTTGGATTGTTTCCAGTTTGGGGCTATTAGGAATAAAGCTACTTGGAACATTCTTGTGTATATATTCTGTGTACATATGTACAAGTTTTTCTAGGTTATATACCTAGTAGTAGAATTGCTGAGTCACAAAATATGTATATCTTCAGTTTTCCTAGAAAAAGCCAGTTTTCCAAAAGGCTGGCCCAGTTTATACTTCCACCAACAGCATGTGACATTTTCACTGCCTCACATCCTTCCTTGCCTATTATACTTGGACTTAAATTTTTGCCGTTTGAGAGGTGTGCAGTGGTATCTTACTGTGAGTTTAATTTGCATTCACTGTTTCCTTATGAAGGTGAGTACTTTTTCATATGTTTATTAGCCGTTTATAGTTCTTTTATGATTTGCCTACTATCCTTTCTCTATTTTTGTATAAGGCATTTTTATTAAAATGAGTTCATACATCTTTTTACTTATTAAAGATGGTAACCTTTTATCAGCACCATCCTGGCCTTAATGCTGGGACAGATTGGTCCAAAGCTAGTCTGAGGCAGGAGGAAATTTTGGTCCCACACCTATCCCACTTTTTGTAAAAAGATGTTTATTTACAAGCAAAACTTTTTGCCCATTCGGCATAAAAAACAGGTAGTGAAAGATATCAGGAATCCCTGGGTGGCACAAATGGTTAAGCACTTGACTACTAACCCAAAGATTGGCAGTTTGATCCCATCCAGAGGTGCCTCAGAAGACTGGCCTGGCAGTGTGCTTCCAAAAGGTCACAGCCTTGAAAACTCTGTGGAGCATAGTTCTGCTCTAAGTACTTGGGGTCGCCATGAGTCGGAGTTGTCTCAATGGTGGCTAACAATGACAACAAAAGATACCTGTCAGAGGACAAGTCTTTTCCAAGTACCTGCTGTATACTGGTCTAAGCTTTGGGAACAAAACAGACAAAATTCCTGCACTCAAGGATCTTGTATTTTGGAGTCAGTATTGAGAGCTGCATTTATCCAGTCCTGTTTGATGCCATGGGAACACTGAACAATCATTGACAAGAACCAGATAAGAAGTAGTGAGGTAGCCAGTAGTCAATAATCATGCAGGCTTTGAAATCAGACCTTGGTTTCAATTTTTATTCCAGAAATCTGTGACCTTGCGCACATTAAGCTCTTTGAAATTTGATTTTGTCATCTGCAAAATGGAAATAATAACCTATAATGTTATGATGATTCATTGAGTCATTTAATACATGTAGAATGCATAGCGCCTCACCTGGCACATTTCCACCCTCATGAACAATGATGGCATCTGAAACCATTTTATCGCTCAGTAATCACGCTAGTGTTGGGGTGAGGTTGTGAGAGTTTGAGGACTATGGTGAGGAAAGAAACTGGAATGGTTCCCAGGTGTGCCTCTATCAAATATGAAGATACTATAACCCCTATTCTATTTTAGGACTTTTGGGGTATGGAATGGGGGAAGTTATATATGGAACAGGAAAGTGAGGTAAGAGACACTGCAAAGCATCTGGAGCCCCGTGAAGTGCAGAAACAAAATTAAAGGCCAGTAAGGAAAACCAGTCTACCACCTCTCTGTCAGTTTGTTGTACTGTGGTGTCTTGCATGTTACTGTGATTCTGGAAGCTGTGCCACTAGTATTTCAGATACCAGCAGGGCACCTATAGTGCACAGGCTTCAGTGGAGCTTCCAGACTAAGAAATTAGGAAGAAAGACCTGGAAATCTACTTCTGAAAATTAGCCAATGAATACCCTATGGGTCACAACAGAAAGTTGTCCAGTATTGTCCTGGAAGATAAATGAGTCCCTTCAGTGCAAAGGCACTACACAACAGCCGCAACAGACTCAAACATACCAATGATCATGAAGGACTGGGCAGCGTTTCATTCTTTTGTACACGGGATAGCTGACTCAATTGCAACTAACAACAACAAGGAAAACTACTATTACCACATCTTCCTTCAGCAGGAGCCACCCAAAGGCGATTTTTGTTCTTGTGTTTTTTACTTTTTGGTTTTTTTTAAATGTAATTCTCACATAAAAAACTATTTTCTTTTTATTGTTTTCTACTTCTTTACATCCTTCAACCCTTATTGTTCCTCTCCATTTTCATTTGATAATTGTTCCTCTAGAAATACTAAATGAAGATATTTTATGACCAGTGTTGAAATTAAAAGTTGAGAGTGAGAGCAGTAAGATTGAATAAATATCTGCGTTCCGGGCAGAGTTATTTACTGATGTTTTGTACTGTCTTTTAAAGCTTATAGATTTTCAGTGGAAACTGGGTATGGCTGTGAGCTCGGACAGTTGCAGATCTCTCAAGTATCCTTATGTTGCAGTGATGCTAAAAGTAGCAGATCAGTCAGGCCAAGTGAAGAACAAATCCTTTGAGATGACAATTCCACAGTTTCAGGTTTGTGATTTAACTTACTACATTTTAGTTCATTTTTCTATAATTGCTGCTTTGAAAGATGTGTAAAATCTTTCTTAAAGTAAAATTTTAATTGTTTTTATTTGCAAGTTGATGTGCTTTTGTATTTATTAGTATATACCAAAAAATTTGAATTTGTTTTCTGAGGAAATCTGATAAATTATTTTTAATACTTTCAATGTAATGTGCTGAATTTGTGCAGTGACGCACTTGGTCACTTTCACAGCACTCCTCTCTGAACATATTTACTAGATTTTCATCTCTGGCAGGATATTTATTTTGCATTTAACCATGGCTTAATATTCAAGAATGTTAACTAAATTAATCTTATTTTTGAATAAAATTTGCTCTGCATTTTCAGACTAACATTATTTACAAAATGCAGGCAAGAGCATAAGTTGATGACTGGTTTTATTAGCTAGCGATTTGAGTAACTGACTAGCTTATATTTAGAGTCATGCTATTACTATTCTCACTGTTGCTATGAAGCTGGAAGTTATACCACCAGTATTTTACTTTATATATTTTCTTTTCACATTTTCATTGTTGTTGATTTTATGTTTGCTGAGTCTTTATATTTTTCTAGTTTTTTATTTTGACTTGTAGGATTGTTACTTTCCTTTGTGGTTACCTTAATATTTACCCCTATTTTTCTAAGTTTATACCAGTCTGTTATTTCTTTATATCTCCTTGACTTCCTC